ACAGGGGATGTAGTTAGAGTGAGGAAGATACGGAAAAAAAAAGTTTGAGAGAAGAAATTCTAAAATAGGATAGCAAAAAAAAAAAAAAAAAGAAAACACTCCTAAACGACCCAGGAAACAGTCTATATGAGAAGGTCCTAGAACAAGCCAGGCAAGAGATGGCGGAATGGGACGAATGGAGAAACAAAGGTCTAAGGACGAGAGCCCGAATAAAAGAGTGGGAAGAAGGGGAGAAAATGACCAAGTACTTCTTCAATAAAATCAAGACAAACGCCAGGAACGCAAGCATAGACAAACTGCAAACAGAACAAGGACAGACTTCCAACCCACAACATATGCTAGCAGCAGCAGCAACCTTCTTCCAAAACCTCTACACTTCAAAAGAACAGGACTATCCACAACATGAAACCTCACACGTGAGGCCAAATTCTTGTCACATTTAGACAAAACAATTTCAGCAGAAAAGGCAGCGACTAACAAGAGGTCTTTGAAGCTCTGAAATCAATGAAACCTAACAAAACCCCAGGACTGGATGGACTATCAAAGGAGTTTTGGGTTACATTTTGGCCAGCATTGGGCACAGAATACTTCCAATTTCTGGAAAAAGCGTGGAATAGAGGCACATTGGGAGAACTTCTAAGCACAGGAGTGGTATCCCTGTTGTACACGAAAGGTGACTGTGGCATACTGCGTAGCCACACGGGCCCTGCAGGGCCCGTCCCGGACATTCAGCCTAAAAGCCTAAAACTTAGGGCTTACAGGCCCCGGTCGTTTCAGCCTGAAAGCTGCAGGCCCTACTCCGTTTCAGCCTATTTCTGGGTCTTTCAGACCCAGAGGTTTTCCAGCCTGAAACGGAGGGCCTTTTTCAGGCCCTCATTGTTTCGACCACCCCTAAGACTCAGGCACGAATACAGGGTTTCGGAACAGGCCAGAAATAACCTGTTCCTCACGAGCTTGAGCAGGAGCTGCAGCTGCAGCCCCTGCCTCCCTTCGGCATTGGCAAGAGCAGCCTCCTGGACTGCTCGCACGAGTCAGGAGGCACACCCGGTAGTACATAGGAAGTTCCCATGCACTTCACGGGTAGGTAGTTGTCAGTAGGCACGAGTAGTCTTCAGGATTCGGCCGCAGCACTCAGGAGGAGCGCTGCAGTAGTCTTCAGCGCTAGGCAGGAGTTAGCGCTAGCTGTAGTCTTCGGCGCTGGGCG